GTTTTAATTTACTTTACGTTTCGTTTTTCCGTGTGCGCGCTCGTATACAATACACCGCAAAAATCAAGTCGAAATTGGCTTTATTTTGACGGCGAGCAGAACGTTATCGACGCGGCTCTCGCGCGTTTATGACGTGACGCGGAATCGCAGAATACTCCCGTCTGGATATTCCCGCGTATACTTCCGGGACTTCTCTCTCTCTCTCTCTCTCTTTCTCTCTCTCTCTCTCGAGTCGGACTCGTATCTAGAAATAAATCCGCCAAACTTTTCTCCCCCGTTGGTCTATTCCCCAGCTGATTTACTAAGACCCGCCTCGATAGCCCTGCAGGCGGCACTCGTTACAACGTCGTTTCCGAGCCTGAAACGAATTCCCAACTTCGCTACGTGGCATGTCGTGTTTCGACGTGAGGCAACCCACCTCTCTCCGAGCGCGCCGTCCGCTCTCCTCTCACTCCCTCCACCCCCGTCTGCCCCTCGCCACCTGTTTCCGCCCACACTGGCCGTTCGATTTACGCATCGAAATTAAGCCACGCTCGGCTTGCGGCGCTCGTCCGATGCACTGCACTTTTTTAACCCCGACCCCGCGCTACTCAACGTCAGTTGCACCACGGCAGAAACGACGTTCCGCGAAACGAGCGTGCATTGGTCAGCGGCGAGTCCAAGAGAATTCCGAGGGAGAGTTGAGCGGGGAGAAGGTTGTTACGAGGGAGTGGGAGGGTTGGGGACGCGAACGAAATGGAGTCGGATTGATACCTGATACAAGTCCGCCTTGCTCGAGGATTTTTGCGCCAGCTCTGCTGCCGCGAAGAAGGAAAAGAATGTTCGGATGTCGCAAAAAAGCACGGAATACGACGGAACGTCTGATTGCTGTCATTTAGCGTGAAATTCGCCGGTGTTCCCTTCGCACAGCGTCGGGTAAACGAAAAGCGAAAAAGAGAAGATTATTGAGAAGAAATTCTAATTGCGACACACACACACACACACTTTTATCAAATTTTCTCTCTCTCTCTCTCTCTCTTTCATCCGCGCGAAATGTAAACAATTTATTCGACGGATAAATTCCGCGATCGCGTTACATGGGGAGAAGATATTTGAAGAAAGAGAGCCGAGTATTATCTAAAATTGGCCGCGGTTATCCGCGCTCGGTAACCCTCGGCGTTGCGGCCAACAACGTTGGATGAAACGAAGTGCATAGTCACGTTGAGGAGTGGTTGGTGAGTTTCTAGGACTCCGAACGCGCGTCGGACGTTGTTACCGGTAAACGGGATGGGCGAGGCGAATTGAGGTTGATACGCGATACCCGGGGTTTGCTTTAATACATAGAATTCTCCGCAACCCGTGGAAACGGCATCATAACCAGATACACCGTGCGGAACAATGTGAATAAACTGCGGCGCGCGGCAACATATCGCGGACGTATATCAATTCCGAACAGGGGGAGAAAGAGGAGGAGGAGGGAGGGAGGGAAAGGGGGGAGGATTCAGCAACACTATAATAACGAGCGACCTATTTGCATACGGTTATTGTTACAAGATGTACCTACAGCGCTACACCGCGAAATTGCGCGCAGATGTCAGCGCGCTGCGCGCCTCCGCAACGTCCTTCAACGAACGATAATTATTTCACGCCGCCGAGTTGCGAATCCTGCGCAAGATGCGCGCGGCGAAAATGACGTATTTTACTCGCAATTCCCTTTACGTCAAATAATTGTCCGCTCGCGAGAACGAGAGATCTCGTCCGAGATTTTATTTTATTTTAAATCAAAAATGTGTGTGTTTTATACTTGAAGGATGGGAGAGGAGAGGGATACACGCGTAAGCCCCGGGAGTCACACTGATAAAGCCGACGCGCACCCAAGTCCGCGGATTGATGCAAGGATGACAGACACCGGACGGTATTATACCATCGCGTCGACCCTCGCTACGCAGTGCGGCACGAATGCGCGAGATAGAAGCTGACGCATCGCAAAACAAACGTGGGAAGGGAATAACAGATACTGAACCGCCCATTACCCTGTATCTGATCTAATCTCGATCAGGCGTAAAAAAACGCGCAGACAATTTCTTTGTGCAATATCTCGATCGTCGCTAACTCGGATTTGCACATCGAAATCTCTCTTTTGCGCGATGTTTTTTTTTTTTGTTTTTTTATTTATGAAACAGTTTTTAAACATTTTTTTTTAACGCATAGGTTTGCCGCGATGCGAAAGCGACATAGAAGGTGATTAAATTCCCGAGTATCGGAACACAGTGCTGCACATACGTATGTATAGTTAAGCGAGTTAAGATTTGGGTTTAGATTGATGTGGCGGTAGACGGTAGCGGGGCCGCGTGAGCGATTGCGCTGAGTTTTGTTTTGCAATTGAACGTCCGTGTGGAGGTTACAAAATACGAGAGCAGCACGTAGGTAAACGGAATGCAAAAGCGAATTGCAACTGGGCGACGGTGCGGCCAATTCGCTCGCGAAGTTTTCGACTTGAGAGATATCGAATTGTACAGATCTTGAAATTCAGATGAGTTTTTCCTCGATCAATTCCATCATTAATGTATAAAAAAAACACATTGATATTTGTTCTCGCGTTTTCACAAATACGGAAGATAGAAATATTTATGAAACATTTTTCGCTCGCGTCAAAAACACTCCTTTTCCAAAAAACCTACCGAAGTAGCTTGACTCAACATTAACATTGCGAATTCAGTAAATCAACATAACATCATTGTATTTGACTTTCTCTTTGTTTTTAAAATTTTTTATATAATTTTTTTGTTTTTAATACGTTGTAACGTGTGCGCCAGCGTGCGCGTATTGTGCGTACGACGCGCTATTGTGTTCGAAAAACGAGTATCGGCTGATAAAACAATGCTGCGCGCGGAACACACAGTTGCATCCGAAACTGGATGTTTGGCAGCAACTCTGATCCCGGCGACCGTCAAATAGATGCGTGGAAACGAAACGAACAAACGTTTCGAGACCGGTTTGTGCGGAGGGTAAAATCAGCCGAAGAGAAGTGAGGGTCTTTTCCCGGTGGCCAGCGGAGACTCTAGGTGGCTTTGACTCGCCAATTCAGCATCACCCATACGGGCACTCAACCGCAAATCGAGTTCCGGCCTTGGGGCGGAATAAAATCGACCCCGTCAACCTCGACCTGCTCCCTCCTCCCTTCGGCAGCCTTCGAGCTCGCACATGTGAGCGAACCTAAGACATTACTCGCGAGGGACGCGTTTGTTCAACGTCTTGATAAAGAAAGAAGAGAAGAATAAAGAGAGAGAGAGAGAGAGAGAGAGAGAGAGAGAGAGAAATAGAGAGAGAGAGAAAGAGAAAAGAAAAATAAAATAGGAAGAGAGAATCGAGGTTGACTTTAATGGGTGTAGCTAAATGGAAAAACTCGGCCGCGGGATAATAAAGTCATGCTCAGATTATGGATTTCCGTGAAAAAGACATGGCCGTATACACAGTGTTTCGCACGCGTGTTACGATTCTTTTCTAGAGTTGCGAAGCCGTCATTTTTACGCGAGAGAGCCTCAGCAATCAGAGTCGTCATTTACGCTCGCGGATTTTCAGCGCGCGTTTTTAACAACATTTTGAGAAATTAAATCTCGCATTTCGCCGAGCTGCACACGGAAATTTTTGATAATATGGATGTAGCGAGAGAAACAGAGAGACAGAAAGAGAGAGAGAGAGAGAGAGCGCGCGCAAACGAACGCGAAGCAAATCAGAACCGCACCGGTACGGAATGGCGTGTATATAACCGGATGATTTTCGCGGACTCTCCGAAACTTCGCGAAACTCGGGCGCGTTATTTCTCGAGTCTCTCCAGGAAGTCGTGCGGAACCGCCGGAATCGTCGTTCGAGTCCGCTCTCTTTAATGTCCAAGCGTGGAAGAGAAAGAGAGAGAGAGAGAGAGAGAAATCCGCGCTACACACATTCTGTTAGGTAGAACTTGCGTCGCAGCGAGTTCGCTTCCGCCGGAGATGACGCGGATGCGTCGTACCCCCGCCGTTATCGTTCTCTACTTTATTACGTGCAGCCTGCATGCGTCGTATGCGCGCACGTGTCGTCCCCGTCGCGCACGTGTACGTGCGAGAAGAGACACGCGCCGTAGTTTCCCAGCCCTTTCTCTGCGAATGCAGAGAGAGCTAATCCGCGCGGGTTGATTTATGGACGAGCAGATATACTTGTCTACCTCGCACAACGCCCGCCTGCAGGGAAGTTAACGCTCACGAGCGTTATTGTTGCTACGTTAAGTGTCACGGCAGAAGCTCTGTTCTCTCTCTCTCTCTCTCTCTCTCTCTCTCTCTCTCTCTCTCTCTCTCTCTTTCTCTTTGTATCTCTCTCGCTCTCTTGTTCTGTCGAGGCCGCAATCGGCGAACGTCCGACATGGGATCGGATTTATTGCTACATGTGTACACACTTTGGGGAACGATGTATCGTTCCTAATTTCTGAGCAGCGTATAGATAGACCGGATGTAAGCGCGATTTTATCAGATATCCGTGTGGATACGGATTCTTGTACGTTCAAAGGTACCGTCCATTAGGAGGATTAAAGACAAATATAACGGCGATCCAATTCCGCGCTGTTTTTTCGTGATTTAATGTAGCCTTTCTATCTCTTTCCTAACGTGCTTCTCCGCTGAATTATACTGACTCCGCGATAACCGAGAAAGAACGTTGTTACAAAAAAAATAAAAATAAAAATAAAAAATGTGCAATTTCTCCGCGAGAAAAAACTGGGGTAAAAGTGCAATGTTGTTCGTTAAAATTATTTTTTGACAGTTGTTTAATCAAGGCTCGAAAATAATTTTCGAGCGGAGTCCGCGCAAGCGCGCGCGTGACGCAAGTTTTAATAATTGTTTAGCCACCTTTTGCCATCCCCGCGCAATTTTTTCTCGCCGTGGCGCGCGGCGAGAAACCGTTTCCGTTTCTCGCATCTCGCAATTTTCAGCTTACCACCACGCTTGTATGCGGCAGCATGTTCTAACGGTCGGCTTTTCTGTCCGCAGTGCCGCCCGACATCGTGGACTATGATACTAGCACGGACATGGTGGTGATGGAAGGACGGAACGTGACTCTGCGCTGCTCCGCGACCGGTTCCCCGCCGCCCAACATCACCTGGCGACGCGAGGATGGTCAGGCAATTCAGCTCGGCAACGGACTGGAAGGTTAGTTTTTAACGAGTTGCCCGCGAACGAGCGTAATTCGCAGTCAGGCTCGGTGATAAAGCTGGGAAAATTTCGCTGAATTAAGGACGGTCTCTCCCTCGTTCGCTTTCGCTCATAGAGTCCGGGACGCCTCGTTACGACGAGAGCTAATCGAATACGACGAGCGAAAGACGCGAGCCGTTTGATACTCTCTCGGAGTGCAGTCGACGATCGTTCGCGGTACGGTCCTTTTCGGAGAGTTGCGCGCTTTTAACCCCCCTCCCCCTCCCCCCCACATCCTTCCCTTTTGCGAGCGCGCGCACGTTAGCTGGCTCGTCTCTCTCAGGAGCTCTCTTCAGGTCGCACCCCCCGAGTATTTTATGTGTCATTAGTTCGGACGATCACGAAATTTCTGCGCTCCATATTCGCCTCGCGCGAAAGAAGAACCGCTCGTGAGAGTTTCCTCCCCTTTTGGTCCTTGATAAACTTTTTACAGCTATATATTTCCACTTTTACTGCAAAATATTTCCGCTAATTTCACCGTCTTTTATTTATATCTGGTGTTAGCATGAAAAGGGAAAAGGAAAACTTTACTTGTGAACTTTGCAACTTTCATAACCGGCCTTATGTGAAAGAAACATGCGCGAGGGAGCGTCTTTTGAAAACGTAATTTTATTTACTCGATATAAACGTTTGAAAAGAGCGGATGAGCTTGAAATATTTACAAATTCACCGCCGTTGAATTATCACCACACGGAGGTGGAAATAAAACGAAGTTCCGCGCGGAACTTCGGGAAGAGATATTCACTCGCGCGAGGATGAGAGACTGGGGTTCGACGCCGAAGGGCTCCAAGCGAGTACAAACTCAATAAATATCCTCGTAACATCCGTAAGTGCGGCGGCAAAACGCGCGCGTGCTCTCTCTCTCTCTCTCTCTCTCTCTCTCTCTCTCTCTCTCGTTTACGCACTCGGCCGTAAAGTCTCTCCTCGCCCGAGAAAAGATTTACGGAGAAACCGTATTCGCGCCGAACCGCACCGGGAGTGCATCCGGGATGAGCCTCGTCGTCGCGCGGGCGGTAACGCAAGAGAGCTTCCGATCGTCCCGGGAGCGCAAACACACCGCGCTGCAAGGCCAATAGATTAGAACGGGGTGATACGTTTGCCGAGAGACCGAGAAGATCTGCTATATTTGCATTGAAATTGGCAAACACACGGAGGCGATACGCGGCTAGAGAGAGAGAGAGAGAGAGAGAGTGAGAGAGAGCCCGACTCGCACGCTCTCGCGAACGACGATAAACAACCGGACCGACTTTAAAACCGCGATTACGCCATTCGTAGTTCCGCTATTACGCCATTAATCCGATAAAAGCGCCGAGAAGTCGAGACGTGGGGGACATTGCTACAATTTTGCGAAGATTCGCGCGAACGACCGCCGAGCGACCGATCCATTCGTAGTCCAATAGCGCGCACACATTTTCGCGCTTGTCCCGCCGCGGAAAAATTATTACAAAAGCGCTGACGTACTTACACAGCGCTTTTGTTTCGTTCTTCGAACGTGCTATATATCGCGAGCGTGTGCGGCACGTGCACGCGCCATTAGATATTCGTCCGCTTTCTTGTGCGGTAATTCAATGATGTAGACTGTAACGATATTGTGATCGGGATACTGTTGCCGGAGCGTTATTGGATTATTTGGAACTTCGACGCGGGTAATCTTATCTCGACGGGTCTCGAACTTGGAAAAGTTAGCTCCTCACCTCGATGAGCTTCAGATATGACGTTACGGCGGCGTTTCTCTCATTACGGATGTATTAATTTTGGTAATTTCTTCTGTCTTTTTTTTGTTTCTTTTTGTTTCTTTTTCTAACTTAATCTTTTAAACGAACGTTCTACCATTTTCGGCTCGTGTTTCCGCAGCGTTCGCAGCGCGGCGCGCAGTTAGTTTGTGTTGTTCTCCCCCCTGCGGCATTTAATTTGTCATCAGAGTGCAAATATTCTGTCGGATTTAATCGTGGTCAGCAGGAAGGATGTGGGCGGCATCAACTTTCGGATAAGTAAACTGAATTTGCACCTTGTAATGCAGGTGGTTCGCTCTCCGAACTGGTCGCCCGCCGGGAGAGTTGACGACTCTCTCTCTCGCTAAATTGCTATTTGAATTTCGAATGTCGCGAGAACGGATACGAACCTCCACAACTCCTAATCTCTCATTCATTTCTGCATTCACTTGCTTCCGATTTTTGCTTAATTAATCGTCAGATTGTTAATGTCGCTCGATGAAAATATTCAAAAGGAAACTTTTGTGCCGTAGTCGTGTATATCCATTATCTTTTGTCGCTTTATTACGTAAATATGTAAATATATTTATGTAAATATATTTTGAAAGTAACAACAACGATTCACTTTATTCACAAGAATTTCGGAAAATTTAACAGCAGTCGGGAGTGTTATATATTTTATTTATTATCGTGCGCATTGTGCGCCGCGCCCGGTGTGCTCGCTGGCATAGTTTAAAATGCTTTATAGAGGATTGCACGTATGCCAGAGAGTTGCTCGCAATCGAGTCCGCAGCTGCTGCATTATGCGGTCGTTCGTCAAAACAGTTTGCACATTTTCCTGGTGCGTTTTAGCGCGCGCGTGCGCACAAGAAACGGTCCTTCTTCTCGCGATAATGGTTACATTGATAAAATGGCGGAAGTTCGCGGGCAATTTTTACGAGCGCTCGCGATGCGGATCAGCGCCCGGTATTTTTCTTACACGCGACATCTCCTCTCTTCGTTCGTTTTTAAGACGTGGAATAATTGTGACAATTCCTTTTCCGAAAAATTTGCATGTGGAAAGAGAGAGAGAGAGAGAGAGAGAGAGAGAGAGAGAGAAAGAAAGAAACTTCGCGTTTAATACACAAATTTCTTAAATGTGTTCGAAGTCGATTTTAAATATTGAAACGTTCATACGTTTCAAGTGACGTCGGCAATCAATTTTCATTGATACGAACAATAATATTGATGCGAAAAAAAGTCGCGCAAATGTAACATTGGCGAATTTCGCCGGGAATGAATGCGTTTCATGCGAAAAATATGACTCGGCAGAATTTTCAATAAGAATAGAATCGTTTTGCAGGTAACAATTTTTATCGATTTTTTTTAGTGATGGTTAAACAAACATTTGCATTTTTATTTTTGATCTTCTGTTATACGATTGGAAACTAAAAACGAGACGAACAAGAAATTCGGATTCTAATAAAAATTGATCGCAAAAAGATGTCCGGAAAGTTTTCGGTTCTTCCATGCTGTCAGTGCTAATAAAAAAATGTCGATGTTAAACCGTCAACCCGACATCACGCACTTTTCTCTACATCGAACTGTCTATATACGGCTATAACCTGATCGAAATTCCCGCGGATAATATTTCCTAGAGTAAAAAAAAAAAAAAAAAAATAAATAAAAAATTTGGCAAATTCCATTGAGAACTGACGTTCCGCGCGCGTGTTTCGCGCGAAAAATCAATTGACACCAAAAACATTCGATGTCATAGCGCGCAAAAGTTACGCCCACCTCGATTTATCACCGATAACATCGATCATATTTCCCACGGAAATTCTCGTTCCAAGAGCTTATTGATACTTTCCGTCATAATTCCCTTCGCGAAATTTTTCTATACCTTTTTTTCTTTTTTGCATCGACAAATGAAATTTTTTCTCTTTCAATAAATTTCACAATAAACACGCGTTCGTGATTTGAAAAAAAATTTTCTGCGGAAAAGTATTGTATTGCGCGACCGTGTCGCGAAGAAGAGACAGTAAATATTAATACACCAGATCCTGATGGTGAGAAATTTTTTTCTCTCAATATTTTATATAAAATACACGTGACGAGTAAGTTGTTGTTTTTTTGCAAACAAATATCCTAGTAGTAGTTTATGCGAACGCATTTTCACAATATGCATTTACGATACTTTTTTAATTACAAGTTTATTATGTGTCTTGTGCGTTGCAGTTGCGAGCGTGGAAGGTACGTTCCTCAATATCACAAAGGTAAACCGACTGCACATGGGATCCTACTTGTGCATCGCATCAAACGGAGTGCCGCCATCAGTCAGTAAAAGAATAATGCTTACCGTGCATTGTACGTATTATCCTTTGGCGTTTTGCTGCACTTTGTATCAAATCGAATCTGTTCAATGATATTACAAGACGTATTTGTGAATTCTTATTCCATGTGAAAAACAACTGTATATATATACATAACAAAATTTCTTTGAGAGATATTAATCGCATCGTTCAAATGTAATCTGGTATACAACGCAACATTTCGAAAGAGAAATATTTTATACACAAAGTTCTGACAAAAATAACTGTATCGAACATAGCGCTGTGACAAAGTTTGCAGAGCGAAAAGAATAATCTCGACACTCGGAGGAGATAGTCGAAGTTGTGTGTTGGGTTTCGACTGTTCCAGTTTCGCCGATGATATGGGTTCAGAATCAGTTGGTGGGCGCTCACGAAGGCGACAAGCTGACTCTGGAGTGTTTCTCGGAAGCTTATCCGAAATCTATCAATTATTGGACGAGAGATAAGGACAAGATCATGACAGGTGAGTTTTCGTCGGATCGAGCGCGATGAATATCTGCCTGTAACTCGACGGAGTTACATATAATTAAATTCGGTATTCACTTACGGTGGGAGGGAAAAGAAGGGGAGAGACGATAAATTAACAAAAAACTTGGCTGGCACATGCTTATATATATATATATATATACCTATCGTATAAGAGGTTGCGATTGCTCGCGACGGAGTCTCATGAAAGAATCATGACCCGATAGAAAGTCGGGATGACTCTACAGTCTTGCAATATGCATCGCTCAACCACGGCACGCATCGCGTTTTTTTGACGATTCATGTAACCCGCGCGCGTGCGCGCGCGAGAGAAAGATATATAATTACACTTCCCCCCGACGCGGTATTTCTACGCGTGTGGTGTGTCTGTGTGTGTGTGCATTCGCGAGAAGGAAAATAACCGGTTGTAACGAACTCTCTGAATAATGAAAGCTTCATAGCGAACGCATAAACACGCACACACACACATCGGGCGAAGCGCGAGTATAAGCGTTTCAGCTTTATGCGCCGCCTATAAAAGACGGCTTTAGTACTTTGCATCGATCCGCGGACCGTTTCTTTTGGATTCGCATATCTTTTTCACGGATCACGGACGTTACACACACACACACGTTCGTCGAGCGCGTTTGATCGCGCTGTCGGGGGGGTGGTAAAAAGAGGGAGCGAGATCGGGAAGGGAGGCAAAGCCGTGCGCACACGCGGTTAAACCGCGCGCTTTTACAGCCGAGAATTAGCCGCATTGCGAAAAACACTGTAATCGCCGGTGCGTTTCGTTACACGATTGAAAGTTACGACACGTAACGATGAATTAACCGCTCCCCGTTCTATCGCCGCGTATCTCTTATAAACACACTTTTGTAGTTTTACGGTTCTCTTTTGTCTGCATCTAGCGTGCTGTCGGGAAATTGCGCATTGTGCAATTTTGCGGACTAACCGCATCGTGCGTAGATAGGGTGGGACGCAAAGTGACACCAGAAACAAATCCTATTCGGAAAAAACGTGTGTAAATATAATCGCAATCGATTCTCTCGATATCGATTGTTGCCACTTTTATCTCGACGCTGATTAGACGTTTCTCGGATGTGTTACTCGATTCATGTCGCACGAATCAAGAGGCGCGGTAAGAGAGCATCTTATATGCGAAATTCATGCGAAGCGAGGAGATTTTCATGGAGCAATATCTCAAGAACGACCGAAACGATCAATTTTGTTTATAGTCTCAATTGCTTCACGCGACCGTAGTCACGTGTTATTTTTTTATTTTTCTCTGTCACGTGACTTTACTTTAGTCACGATTTTAAAGACACGTGACCAAAGTATAGTCACGTGACCTTAGTCACGAGTTGTTTTTCCACTTCTCCCTGTCACTATTTTTCGAGTTTGATTTTCACGCGTTATTTCTGACATCTTTCATATGTGTGTTATATGGTTTGTAAGACGTATGTACGTAGGTGTCATCGCGGTGACAGGTTGTGTTCACTGACACAACACGTTAAAATAAAAACAATAACACCGTGCGCGTAGCGCGCGCCTGTGTGTTGCGCTAGTTGTTAAAAAAACCGTACGCGATATTGTTTGTAATAACATTAAAGTAACTAAAAAATAAAGAGACAAATCTATTCGTCAAATTTTACAAAAGTGCTCGCAAGTGCCAGTAAGTGCTGTTGTTTTGATTAAAAGCTGTGACTATCACGGTAGCAAAACTTACATTATAGAAAACTTACGAATAGAAAAGAATAATTTCTCAAATTTCATTTGATAAGCGAGAGCAGATAAAATCTGCGTGTGTGTGACAACTTGCCCCCTTCTCTCCCCATCTCGTATATCAACTGGTAACACAAAGTATGCTTGTGGTCTTTCAATTTCACTGGTAGAGCGCGGTAGATTGACAGAAATCTTCGTACGTGAAATTACGTGTTAACACACGTAAATCGCGAGGAAGGGGGTCAAAAACTCGCATTGTGTGCCCCGACATTATTGCGTTCGATACAGATGCAAATGCTAACCACAGCGGCGATGTAATAACGGTCGACGCAGAAAAGGACGATCCCGGTCCGTGTTTGGCGTTTCATATACATATATATATATACTCTCAGTCTCGCGCGTCCTTAGCCTTCCCTCATAAATGCCAGATAAAATCGTGTTATACCTTTAACGTGCTACCGGGATTCGCATGCATTATTCAGAAGCTAATTCCGGTCGAATAAACGGCCCCGAAAAGAAGAGCCGCGAGATGTTGGCGCGCGAGCGCGCGCACGTGTTTTTCGCGTAACGCGCGCGCGCGCGCGCGCGGACGCGAACCGGCGCGCTCTCGGCTTCCTTAAATAAATAAATCTAACGGTATTAAAAACTAGATTGCCTCTTGTAATCGCCATATTGCTACTACTCCTGCATTTATTTTCAAGATATACAAGCACCGACCGCGTGTTAAATTAAAAGCAACGCTCCCCTCGACGTGTTTCTGGCGGGGAGAATCTCATTTAGGGGAATTAACTTCCATAGATCGAATTCATGGATAAAGTGGCATTAAGAGATTTCGCTCCGTATAAAAATTTCTGAGACGTCTTCCTGTAATTTTTCCGAAATGCCGAACGCACGCTAATCAATGGGATTTAATGGCGGTACGTAAATAAAGCGGTGGTTAAAAAGGAAAGGATTTAATTATCTCACTTATTTATTAAATAAATAAATAATGCGCTACTCGACGAATTCTTCGACTTCGGGTTTTTATCGGAGCGGAAGTTTTAAATTAACAAGCGAGACGCGCCGCGTCAAGATTCGGCTCGACGTTCCCGACGATTGATCTTGTGGCTGCGCGATGGCAGCGGCGCATAAAAACAGACGGATCTCGGGGAAAACTGCGAAAAGTGATTAAACCATCGTGGAAAGTCGCTGTCAATTCATTTTCGAGAGCATCAAACGGCCGGGACGGCTTCGTTTGTTCTTTTTTTTTTTTTTTATGGTTACATATTCGTTACAGCGTAGTGCACTCTGGCGCTGCAGCCAACGCCCCGGGGCCGGTAAAAACGTTCCGTTCGAATTGCACGCATCCTGTGTTTCTTTCATTTTTTCGGCCAATTTCCATTTGCGTCTAATTGAAAGCATTCAAATAAACAGAACCGGCAAAACGGGCGCGATTGTAAAAATTTCATCTCGCTTTTGATCGCCTCATGTCAGAATCCGTCTCGTCCGTTTCTTCTCTTTTTTTTTTTTTTTACCCGCAGCTCGATTATTGGCTCGTACGTGATCAAAGTTAAACACAGATTGATATTTTGTTTTTGGTTTCGTCGTTGTTGGCGAGTGTGTTTGTTAAGTTATTTTTGCGAGAGATTACACGTCGACGCGAAACGAGACGAGACGAAACAACGCGTGATACACATTCGCGTCGTCTGACGATTACGGACCTCGCGCTCGTCGCGCGAGCGAGAAATATCGCGGCGCACGGATCCTACGCGAAATGCATGTACGAATGGCGTGACTGGAAAAATGATTGGAAGCGATTTCACGCGTTCTAACAAGACGTGTCGTGATCGATGCCGACGGCGGATAGCGTCGAATTCGCCGTTCAAAGATCGGAAATAGTTCTTCGTGACGACATCAAACCACGTTAGAAATACTGCAGTATTTCAAGGAGCGACGTTACAATCGGTCAATCGAGTGACAAAGCAAACCGACTTTAAACGCCATTAGTTTCGTTACGTTCTTCGGTGTACTCGAATTATCGAACATATACCTATTGTTGTAAAGATCGAATTTTAGCAAACCTATTTATTCGTTTTGTAATCGAATTCAATTTCGCAATTTACCTCCTTTTTTTTTTCTTACAATAAATAAACATCGGATTCCGATCTCTTCTTTATCGGATTCAATGCGGCGCGCGTTTATTCGGTCGTTACTATACAAACGCTCCGGTGTGTATCAGGACGGATTTCAATAACCTACATTTTCCGACGACTCACTCCGCATAATTCAAGTTTGCCTCTATACAAATTGCGGACCTCTCCTCGAAATCTCCTCCGGTGAGTACACAATAGAGACGGAGATTCTTCCGCGGAAACAAACGCCCGCGAACTGACAGCGCCGAATTCCGTCCATCGAGGCGAGCGCCATTTTTACAAAAGCAGTTGTCGTTTCAACAATGTTTTTCTCCTCAACTCGCGGAAACGGCGAGTGAAAGACAGTTTCTTCTCTCAAGGTTTGTTAAGAGCAAGAGGGAATTCGGCCGGGTAACAGTTGTTGTGTGTTGAGTTCTTGAAGACAATACGAGCGCAAAAACGGATTCGTAACGGCGGCGTTAAAAAAACAAAAACTTCGTCAAACGTTAATTAAATGTTAATTAAAATAAAAACGTATCGCAAAGTTTGCGCGAGAGAGAAGTCTCTTTTCTCCGTACATACACACACACACACACACATTTATTTCAGAAACTTGAGAAAAATATTTCCGCCATTTTCTGTGACGATATTTAGATAATTTGAACGGTTCGATCGAAAGTAAGTAGTCGAACTGTAAACATCTGGAACGAATGCTCGAAGAGTTTGCTTGCTTCTTAAAGATAATATTTTCTTTTAGTAGATATTTTTACGATTTCCTTGTATATAAATTTCTGTGTTCTTTAATATTTGAAATCGTCGACGCGCGCGTGTTTCGCTCTTTCGCTCTCTGGTTCCAACGCTGCGCGTTTACACCCGGGTCCAAGAATGAAGGAAAGCATCTCTGAATTGGAAGCTTAGCGAGTTTGAGATCATTGCCATTGAAGAGGTCAGACGTCGCCTTTCAACGTCTCACATCCGTTCGTCGACGCGTAGCTTTGCATAATCAATCCAAACGTCTATAAGATCGCGCGCGTTTTATCGAACACGACCGGGGACCGGAACGCGGGGGGCGAATCGGCCGGTCGACGCCGTAATAATAAATGGCGTTCGATTTCGGGTCGGAAACGGCCCCGCCGTTCAGATCGACAGTCGTCTGCCGAAATTCCCGCGACTGTCGAAAGGCGACGTCACAATAGTTCAATCAGGAAGACGGTCCGTTTGCGGCGCGCGCAACGTGTCTGCCACTGTGTCGCGTGACTATTTCGGTATTCGACACGCGACGGTCTTAAGTTAACGTGATTTCTGTTTCGATCGATGCCATTCAACGGCGCTTCCGTGTTCGGCTCGATCGGCCCGTAAGATTTCGAAACGCTATCTTCCATCCGAAGTCGGTGTCGCGCGAAAAGCGCCGGCTCGAATGCAAAACGGGAACAATAAAAGGGATACGAACGTACTTTGGATTTGACTCAGAATGGACCCCGGAAAACGGATAATGCGTTTTTCGTGATAACGCGGAAGTCAGATAGTTCGCATTATTATAACGCGTGTGCGCGCATAAGATATAATGGGATAAAGTAGGTATAACAATATAATGAATTGATGAATCGTGTATATATACACAGCGAGAGAACAAAAAGAGAAGCACAGCCGCGTCTGCGTGAAATTAATCTCTCCGGAGAAGAAGCTTCCCTCAGAACATCAAATAATAAATCCCGCCAACCGCTTATTAAATCGTCCGACCGACTTCTCCGGGAGCAGGAAATAATTAAGAAACAGACCTTTGTTGGATTCCGGTTTTCTTCTCGTCCGTACCCTTTATTGTTGGAGGAGAGGCAGGCGCTCGGCGTCGCGTAACGAGCCGTTTCTATGAGATTTTCCGTATTGTCACCGCGCGTCGCGGGTTGACCCACATACCGCGAACGCGAGCGAGCGCGGAGGGACGACGCGGACGGTCATTTAAAAACCCTCGATTATCGTCGCGTACATATATATTCCCCGATAAAAATACCCGCTGCGCGATCCGGTCGTACTTCTATTTTCATCCGCACTCCCGAAAAGAGTAAATCACGTCAAGGCACACTGACGGAGAGTTAACCTCGCGGTCAGACGTGACTGACAGCACATGACGGAAAAGCGAATCTTTTTTTTTTGTTTTGTTTTTTTTAATTTGTGTTTCCTCTCTTTTTTTTTTTTTTTTTATTCCTCCGATTTGTGCGCGCCGAGTTGATTTAAGCGCGATTTTTCTGAAATTGGGGGCAAAGAGCGCGCGCGCGCGCGGTGATGTGTTCGCGGCCGTTCCTGTGTATCATTTTTCAAAACCGTCCTAATTCAATCGACGTGATTCTGAAAAGGATTTATATCTTTTATTTTTTTTTTTTAAACAATGGAGCGAAACTGTAAAATTATATAAGCGTGATGTATTACCGGCGATTTTGCGTGTTGCAGGAGGAAAATTCGAGCCCGTGCTGAAGGACAACGCGTACAAAATACACATGACACTGACGATAAATTCAGTCAGTCAGGCGGATTACGGCTCGTACAAATGTGTCTCCCGAAACTCACTGGGCGACACTGACGGCAGCATTAAAGTATATCGTAAGTATAATCACGCAGCGCGTTTTCGTTTGAAATTTTTCTCGATGTATTTTTTTTACGATTACACTTCAGTTAGCAAAAAAACAAAAAAACAAAAAAAAAATAATAATCAACACAAAAATATTTTCACGAAACGGAAAGACTGCCGTAAAAGTTTATATATCGTTCGCACACTGTTACAATGTTAAAATACTCCGCTCGGAATCGGATTCGGGCCGAAAGTAAAACATCTTCTCGCGCATTCGGGCGCTGCAACTGATTAAGCAGCAGCTGCTTTAAAATAGTTTAGGAATTTTCTCGGAAATGTCGAACGGAAATCCGACGAGAGGCCTCAGATCTTATACTACGGAAAAAAAGTATTCGCGCTGTCTCTCTTTATGAATAAAACAATATTTCGCAAAAATATTCTCGCGGGACGGTCGAGAGAAGTGACGCGCCTACGATTCGGAGAATCGCAACTCGCGGGAAAGTTCCTCTTGTATACCCACTCGACCGTCTCTATGCAGTTGCGGGTGCACGATACCCTCTCCGAGCTGCAAAGTGTGTATGTGTATGTGTGTGTGTGTGTGTGTGAATCGCCGTCCTGAAAACAGCGAAGTGCGCGAGGCGCGCTATTCCTAGCGCGCGAGCGCCGAAATTGTTTGCACTCGTAAAGTGAAAGATAACAAGGAGTTAGAATCTCTGCGAGTTAGAACATGCATAAACTAAGTCGTGAGTTAGAGCGTAGACTTGAAAAGACTACCCTGTCCGGGCCTCGTTATTTCTTAGTTGCTGCTGAGACCGAATCACTCCTCCCTTTATAATATTTGCTCGTGACGAGTTTTTTTTTTTTTTTTTTGTTAGTTCGCGATTGTGTTTGACGCGCACTTTGATGTATGCGCGCAATGTGCACGTTCGAATAAAATACTGAACTGTTGTTCTTTCTTCGTTTTCAGAACTATCGAACTCCACCGGCAGCGCCAAAAACAAAGGTAAGTGACTTCACTTGAATCGTGCGTTCTCAAAGCAAATATATAATTTCTCGTTCTATCCGATAAGTTCAGTTCGCAAAACTCTGATTGACCGAGAATTTTGTGAAATACACAAGCGGTCAAAAATTTACCTTTTGAGCTTTTTTTTATTTTTTTTTTAACATGGCGAGAAAATGTGTTTTCCGAATTAAAAATATCAACAACAAACCTGATTTTGAAATTGATTTTCACTGTAATCGCAAAACTATTCGGTCCAGAAATAATGAATTATTAGATTAATTAGTCAATTAATTTATTTCAATCTCGTTGCCCGAACTATATAGACAGATTGATCGATCGTCCTTATTGCTCGCTTTGTGTTTTGAGTACTTTTCGAATGATGAAGCGTGGTGTACTTGTGGCGGACGAACAGGTCGCTGATTAATTAGATCGAGTAGCTAGTTTGCGCGATCGAATCCGCACGTCGAACACTCCCTTTCCGTTTGAGTCCAGTTAAAGGAACAAGTGTGTGCATTTTAACATATATATATATATATGTATATGTATATATGTGTAGATATATATCGAATACATGTCGCACTTGTTTCGATGTCTATCGTCTAGTGTTCTCCAATATTTTGATATTCTCTACTTTGGTCAAACAAACGATGATGATGTTGTTTAAATATTTTTGTTCAATATTTTTGTTCAATAGTCTCTAAAAATTGTATCTTTATGATGTTTCTCGACGACATCGCCAGAAACACGAATCATCAATCGAAGATGACGCGACTCGCTACTGAGAGACGCGACAATTATCGTTCGGCTTCATCTTCTTCGCCGAGAAAGAAAAACCAAATCCGTTCGAACAGTTATTCGCGGTGACACAATATCGCGAGAGCATGGTAAAACGTTTGGTGTATACAAATCGCTCGTAAAAAACGCGACAAAAGCCGCGTCCGCGAGAATCTGTGTCGCTCGCGTTTGTTAAGGCATTTCAAGTTTTCCGTCCGACTAAGTTCGAGCTCCTCCATCGCGAGACTACGGCGGAGGAGAAGAGAGTCGGCGGAGGAGGGTACTATTTCAGCGTGAAATCGCGGATGAATAGGAGCCGTCGACGGGTTTTCGCGGACCTACCGACCGACCGACCGACCGACCAACCAACCGACCAACCAACCGACCGTCTTGTCGTTCACACGCTGTCGCGGGAAGCCGCGCGCGCACAAAAGTCGACGCGAAACTTGATGCAAGCTCGTGCAGAATGCACCAGGGGGATGGCGGCCGCCGTGCCGCAGTTTCGCGATAGCAGAGAGATAGACGTTTAGAGAAACGACTTTTTAAAGAGACCCGGATGAATACCATTTCGGCTCTTGCACCTACCAACCTGCTTTTCATCGCGCTGAAAAAAAAAAAAAGGCCAAGTCTGCGCAAAAGTTTCCGCAAAGGGAAACGGCGCCTCCTTCGGGTCGCGCGTACGCGTTAGCGTATATCTCACGAACCCGTTGCGTGTGTGGCGTATACTCTCTAAATATTCTCCGCGAGATACTTAGAAAAGTTGAGAGACACGAGAGAGAACGTATATGCTTAATTTTCTTCTGAAAGATTGAAAAAAGCGCTGCCAACGCGCGCACACACACACACACACACACGCGCGCGCGCGTACGGTTAGTATGTATTAACGCTCTTACCGGGAAGTAAAATCTCGCGTAGGAAAAAATCATCTCTCTCCGCTGTATGTTATAATATTATCTCTCTGCTACACGCGTATGTTGTAATAACTTTTTGAGATTAGAATCTTATACGCGCGCGCTTCCATGTGACTGCGATGAATTACATACGTATTCATACACGGTGCGGAGAAGTTGACGGTAAGGTATTTGATTTTACCGAGTCGCGAGTTCTTCGAGTGCGCGCGGCATTATTGGATTTATCTTTAGCATGTAAATGAGGATTCGAGGGGACAAAATGCACGGCGAGCAGACGTTTAGAGTACCAATTCGCGGATGGCTGTCTCTCTGTCTCTCTGTCTCTCTCTCTCTCTCTTTCTCTCTCTTGGCGTGGTATTTCGAGTACGCTGATGTATTCAAAGAGATAATAATAGCGGGAAGAGCTTTGTGGAACAATACATCGCGGTCCTCTCAAAGGAGATGGTAAATTACATGTCAGTGCGCCCCGCGCAATGCTTCGCCGTATTTCGTTGTGCTCCGCATGAGTATTAACTAAGCGCACGTAAAGTATTTTGTTATCTACGCTCGACCTTTTCTCTCTCTCTCTCTCTCTCTCTCTCTCTTTCTTTCTCTCTTTCTCTTTCTCTCCCCGTGCGTCGTCGCAGAATATATATATATATATATATTCAATGCAAAATGTCGTATAAAAAAAAAAAAAAACAATACATAAGCTCGGTCGCTTTTCGTATTTTCTGTGTATTATATTCTCTGATTCGGTTTCGAGGTTTTTGAAAATTATCGACGCGTGTTTCTTTCTGTTACATCTCGTGCAACTGGGTTTCGCAAAGTTTTTTGACCGGAAAAAATAAAAATATGGGAATTTTTTTTTCTCTCTACATGTGTACACAAGAGACGGAAAATCGCGCTCGGTGACGACGGGATATAATCGCGGAATGGATTTGTGTGTACGGTTACCTTCCGGTTCGCACATTTCATAATGTGTACGTTGCGCTGTGAGACGCTTCCGCGCCTCTTAAACGTTATAATATGATATAAAGTGCTGTGTGTGTGTGTGTATATGCACTATATCAGGATGAAAAACGCCGATATAAAATCTGCCGTTTGAAGCACGTGCTTTAAGACACTCTCGACGGTCATGATATACCTCCGAGACGCCCCGAGTCTTCGCCGGTTTAATGGTTCATTTCGCGAGGAGGAAAACTTTAAACATCTCGGCTCGCTCCCGTCTTCTTCGTTTTATGGCTAATCGATATTTTTACACGAAGAGAGAAACTACTCTCAGCCGCGAATACTGTTTTTACACAGCGCGGGCCCTTATATTACACACGCAATCGTTTTCATGAAGCGCGAAATGGCTGGATTTAAATGCAATATATATATATATATATATATGTATGTGTATATACGTACATACGTATGTACGTATGGCGCGAATTAATTTGGGACACACATATAGTCGCGTAGTCTCTTCGTAAATCATCTCGTTCTGACGTTATCTCCGGCGCAAAGATTTAAATGTGCCTCTCACCATAGTCTCTCACTCTCCGCTTGCTCGCGTTGAAACGGTATTTCCAGACGTAACTGCCATAATTAGCAGCGCGAGGAGGCCACGTTGCTCGGCAAGCGATAAATAATAAGCGGCCGACGGCGGCGCGAAGGTGATGTCATCGCGCGCGCGCGCCTCACTTTCATATTTCACCAAGTGTATCTTCCGCGCCATCATAATGAAAAATCCGGGATTTATTATTGACCCGTCTTCGGTCCGACTTCCCGTTTCGCGCGACACCCGGAAATCGATATATGCAAAATATTTTGATGCCAACAGATTGGGAGGCGACGTTGCATTGCCCGATGGAAGATTTATAGAGATCGGTTTCGGCGCTCTCTCTCTTTCTCTCTTTCTTCTCGGGGCAGATCAATTTTATTGAACTCTTTCCATCTCGCTACACATGCAACTCTCTTTTTCTCTCTCTCTTTCTCTCTTTCTCTCTCTCTCTCTCTTTCAGCGAGATAAATACTTGCCTATACACACATCCGGATCGGAGTTTCGAGAAATTAAATTTTCTCGAATTACCACAAAGTTCATTAACGGATAATCGGGGTGGAATTAATAGCGTTTGTTAAGAACGAAGCAAATTCGGGACGGCCAATTACTTTTAATTAGATTATTTTTTTAGTTTATTTTTATTCTCTTTACCAGAGCGATCGTTACTCCCGGTCGCATGTGTGTGTGTGTGTGTGCAGTTTTTGGAGGATTATCTATGTATACTCGGTGCGCATGCAAAAGCAAAACGGAGACCCTCTTGAAACTCCGCGCGGAAACTTAACGACGTGAAGGCAAACACGTTGGTCATACCTTAAGCCCTTTCACAATCTGCGCTCGGCCTTCCTCTATCGAGTACGAACGACCGTGTTCTCATTCGCTCTCCTCATTACTTGAGAAAACACACGGTTCCGGGGTCGCATTTTTCACGGAAACAAACGAACTCACGTGCACTCACGGCGAGCAAAACGCTAGATCGCTTTTCCAATAGCGACAGAGAACCATCCCAGCATCTCTCACCTTCGCTTTTTTTTTTTTTTTTTTTCTATCGGTGTTTAAAATTGGACTCCGCGCGAAAGACGAAAAATCAATCATCGCATTTGTGTCGCAATTGAGACAGATTGAATCGTATTTTTCGTCGTATCGAAATTATCTTGCATACGATTACGAGAAACTACGTTAAGTAAATTCCGAAAAACGAGATATCCTACCTTCATTCAAGATTTTATTGTGAAAAGCGACGCAAAATGTCAATCCCGACATTGTAACGAAACACGCGAGAATCGAAATCGTTGTCAAAACAAGTGAAAGCAATTTGAATTCATTAAATCAGAGACGTGTATTTATTTCTCCGTCTCACAAATGTGTCTTGTCTTGTAAATCGGTTTTTCTCTCTTCGTGCTCGCTGTCATCGCGCTATTTCTCCGGCAATTGATTTAACAACCGTCGTCATTAGTAGTCTCGTGACGTATCCGCGAAACCGAATACGTCGCGAAACAAATTGCTTTAAAAAGACATATTAAGCGGACCACCAATTAATCAAAGAAGAAACGAAACGAGGAAAGAAAAAAAAAATCGGAATAACACGGGCGAGATTTTAATTGAATAATTCTTCACTTACCCTACGAAAAGCTGGCACCGATTTGTTCTCGCGTTTACGTAACAAAACACGGCAAGTTGTTAAATAAATACTTCCTAATTGGCACAAATTTAAAAACTTTCACCTGTTTCATTAACAGAACCAACACTTTATTAATACGAAATTGACCGCGCGCCGGCGTGGAAGACGAGCAGAAGACGGAGAATATTCATAATTATTGCTTATGCATAAAAGTATTCGTAAATATTTACTCGGACAATATTGCCAATATCCAAATATAAACTCTGAGCTTCTGAGGAACAATATCGTTCAATATCTCGCTCTGTTTGCAGGTAAACTAAGGCAAAATTCAGGGAACAATATCCTGGAGGGAAATCAAGATATGCTAAAGGATCGAGGTATACACGCTAAAAGACTATAGAAATATTAATTTCAATCGAGATAATTGCACGTCCGCGCGTTGTTTTTAATTCTTTCCATCATCGCAAATAGCCTCAAGCGATCAAGGATTTATATTTTTCTTCGCAAATAAATTTATCGTATAAATAAATTATTTATTTACTTCAACATGTATGATTCGGAATTGTTTTATTTTTTTTGCGATAAGTGCCACTTACTGTGCTTTTAAAATCATATATGTATAACAATCTATGCTTCTCTCTCTCTCTCTCTCTCTCTTTCTCTTCTTTCTTTCTTTTTTCTTTCTCTCTCTCTCGTAGACCGAGAAGGACGAGGTCGTAAAAAGAACAACGGCGACGTAACGGATTACGATGAGTCCAGCGCAAGCAGCAACACCAGCAGCTCGTTTCTTCTGGTGACCCTCGTCGTTCTGTACCTGTGTCATCATCACCATCCGCAGATACGGACGTTGCATCCGGCCTGAGATCTGCCCACGACCGCCCTGCACGCAATCACACGCGTACTTCGATCATCGAACCATCTCGTGACTCTTGTACATCCACTTGTAAATCCATCGCTCAGGGACTTCAGTCGAGGATGAATATCGTCGAGGACTGCGTTGACCACTTTAAACTTTAAACGATAAGATAATAATACTATATAAGTAGCGTTAGCAAGCCGACTCCGCCGACCCCGGTGTGCAGCTCGGAGAAGTTTGCTAAGGGAGGATTACGACTTAAGGAAACGGCCATTGCGAACAGTTTTCGGACTCGGAGTTGGGCGCGCAAATCCACCTTATATGAGAATCATGTTACACACTGCGTTGGGAAACGCCTATCTCTCTGATTTTAGAATCGCGTTAGCGCGGACAAGATTCTAAAATCAGATTCATAAAATCCGGAACGTTAGGGCGAAGAAATCGCTTACGCGTTTTCATGAAAGACCGTTCGTAAATTTTTGTCTCAGTTCTAACGGCTTCTCTTTTTATTCTAGTCATTTCTTATTTAAACAGAAAGCTCATCTTATTATTATGCAAATCTATTTGTTTTACAGATGATATAATTTATGTAATTGAGAAATTTTGTATTTTTTTTTTTTTTTTTTTTTTTTAGATAATTTCTCTGGTAAAGTAATAAAGTGTGAAAAGTAGTTTCTATCGGTCGAAAGTGCACATTTCAGTCCGTAGAGCTCGATAATGCAATCGATTCTGGACAAGAGGTCTTATTGAGAAGGAGTGCACTTCCGGGGAAACACGCAGCAACGAAAAGTGGACGGTTTCGCGTTGTTTCGCGTCAATTTTAATTGGCTATCCCGAGCAGTGGTGTATCCCAACGTCGAGCGCGACTATTACGAAGCAACGACCAAACGACGGGGACGACGACGCGGCTGCGCCAATTGCAGGGAAAAGGAACGTCCGGGCGTTTATTAGAGAAAAACTCCGGACTAGAACGAAACTGTCCAATTTAAACAAGAAACGAACCACTCGAAGGACGAAGAACTCAAGGCTTCGTTCGCGCGTCATTGACTTTCATCGATGAAACTTCGAGAGGAGGTATTATTTTTCGAGAATATAATTCGCGCGCGCGCGGTGAAAAACGCGAGAGAAAAACCAAACATTATTGCAAAAGATCTTTGATTTCTTTTCTATTTTTTTTTTTTTTTTTTTTTTTTTTTTTTTTTTTTGTTCATTAGTATCGGTTTTCTTTAATTTAANTTTTTTTTTTTTTTTTTTTTTTTTTTTTTTTTTACTTTTTTGTTCATTAGTATCGGTTTTCTTTAATTTAAGAATGTAAATTTGTAAGCGAACGTTTTAGAAAGACAACGGAGAAAGGGCAGCTTCGATTTTCACATGACCGTTTCAGCTGAAACCCATTTGGTTTTTCTATTTGTGAAACGACAGCTGTAGAACGCGACGGTTGTAGACGCGCGCTGACAGGTACATCTGAAAACGAACGTTACGCCTTACCTGACTGGAGAATAAAACCGTGAGACAACAATTCACGACAAGACAAGGAACAGAATTGACAATAAAGAAATATTCTCGCGTGCGCGTCACGCGCTTTGACATATATATATGTATATATATTTACATATGTGTATCGTAACGAAGAAATTGATCGAATGAATCGCGAAATCATTTTGTTCTCTCTTGGAATTGCAAATTATACTCATTTTATTCCATCGCTTGCCGTGGGCAATACACGCAATTTTTTTTCTCGCATTACAACGCGGAAACGCGAGCTAATTGTGTCACGTGATTTATATTGTTGTCGTTAGGAAGATCAACTCTCTCCTCTAATGAGTTATTAATCCCTGCATTGACGCAACAACATCGGTCGGCGTCGTTTTACATGACCCTCTGTGACTCCTGACTTCTGACTTAAGACGATTACCGTGTGTATAGAGTAGCTAGCATTAATCTCTGATGGGAATATAGAATATCTCTCCTGACGTATTATACGATAATCGTCACTCGTCGCTTTAAAAAAAAATATAAATAAATAAAATAAAACTCGCACCAACAACAATCCTCGGCAAAAATTCTGAATTGTTCGTTAAAATTCACACCGAGGATATTATAATATACATTCCGCGCGTTAGTTGGAATCTAATCTACTACTGTATAGTACTATGTATAGTAATGTACTATAGTATCTAGTATAATTACTGATATATATGTACTATATATATAGGCAAATGTATGTATATGACTAAGCCGGCGTGTTCGGCGTTCCTCGAAATTGTATCGCTCCTCTCAGCAAACCAACGTAAATCAAATTCGATCGTTGACGGTCTTGCTTTTGCGATTTGAACAAATTTTCGATAAATTGTAAAACTAATTATCTGTTTAAAGTTTATGTATTTTGAATCAGAATTAAAAATCGCGTACGATTTTAGTTGATATTTTTATCAATTTCAAGTACACAGAAAGGAATATGTTGTCTCAGTGTGATCCTATTTTTCGTAATAATAAGATATCCGAAGAATAAATTTGTACATAGTATGTATAATAAGTACAATGACACATGTACGCTATATAAATATATATGTATATATACATACATATATATATATATATATATATATATTTATATCATATATTGAGTCAAGACTGACGAGACTCTTGGCGTCTTTAAATCATTTTCGAACAGTGATCGATGTACTGCGTGTGAATAGACGCTCACTTTATTATGAGCTTTTATTGTATTATCTACATGTATTGTATATATATATACTATAAAAACTATAGACTCTGGTACCGCTGCAGATCACTGACATCGCCACTGCCACAATCTACGGTCTCTTTGTCTGGCAAAAAAAACTATATCGTTGACAACAACAACAAAAATTTATAAATAAGCTAATTTCCGAATATTCTCCGATATACATTATATATGTACAATAAATATATATCAACTTAAATTTATGAAACAAATACAAACAGACAATTTCAAATGCGAATTTCGAATTTAATGCGCGTGTGAATTATTTAATAAGACACACTGCGACAATTTAATCTATTAATGTCGTAACCAACCGTTAATAACTACAATTTCCGAATTGTTAATTATTAGCAATGCGCGACGCATTGTAATCGATGCAAATATTTGCGGAACTTTGCCTAAGCTCTGTCAGAGCTTAGGTGCAACACACACTACAAACTAGGACACTTTGTACAGTCTGAATCATAGTACAATGCCGCGACGTGGGGTTTGCACATGGCGCTTTGTGTTTTCGTTCACTGATATGTACATGCATGTAAACGTATGCAAATACAGAGAGCTTATTATTATTGAAAGAAGTTTGAGTTCCAAAACGGGTCAGAGCAACCTATAACAAATAAAGGAAGACAAAGAGAGAGAGAAAGAAAAAAAATAAAAAGAGTTCTTGTTAAAATAGTATTAAGCGTTGGGGAGGAGGGGAAGGTGAGGGGAGAAGAGAAAAAAACTAAAAGAAAAATTTTGTGAGAAATATCGAACATCGCGCGCGTACAATATATTACGGAGAGTTGTAGTTTCGAGGAAATGAAAAGAAGTCATTTGTTCGCGTTAAGGTTTTTTGTTTTGTTTTTAATATCTTGCATCTATCGCGCCGATTTTTTGTGATCGCTCTTTCTACAACTGTAAATTTTATTTTGCAAGCATATTTATATTACCGGAGTTAAAAGAGATCATCAATAATATCTTTGCGAGTTATTACGTACAAGAAAACATATCAACATACACACACACACACACACATAATTCCTATTTCTCTCTTTGGCATGCAAGAATATATACAAATACAAGAATATATACAAAAATATACATTGTAACTGGAAACGTATGTACGTCAATTGAATGTTTGTTTTTTTTTTTTTGCGAGAATGTCACACTTCCAAAAGTTCTGATATCCAGACACATATCTGCTCGAAAATACGCAACAAACCGGCAGTGTTAAAACAACGTCAACACGATATAACGTGACAGAGATAATACGACTTCTATCGATGAGATTTAATTTAAGTGTCGCTGACTGGTTTTTACACCACATTATACACACTGTGCGCGTAATTGTAAAATTATAAGAAGATATTTACTGCCTCGACTGGATCTATACTTAATAATGTATATGCAAGTAGCATTTATCATCGAGATTCCACGCTGCGCCCTTACACTGGGTGCTTATGATGAGAACACGAGAAATTTAGTGACTGCGACAATTAAACAATATTTAATCAGAACAAGCTACTTTTGTATCATCGACATTGTAGATAACATACTAAACACACATCAAACGTATATATAATATACATATATATATATATTACAAACGCGTGTAATAAACTATATGAGAGAGAGAGAGAGAGAGAGAGAGAGAGAGAGAGAGAGAAAGATAAGAGAATAAGTGCGGAATTTGTATAAAATAAAGGCGTAAATAATAATATAAATCGTAGCTGATATAAAACGTCGGTAGAGCGATTAAGTTACATGGCGCACCATGACGATTATACCATATTATACATAACTCATATGCAAAGTGAAAAAATAAATATTAAAAACAATGTTGTAGTGTACAGGTAGAACGCAGTATCTGTGCTGATCGGTGGCGTAATTGTAAATGTATCTGCGTAACAAGTACCAAAGTTCTTTGGAATGCATATTACATAGTATCGATATTTCGTAATGTTTTGCTACTACGGTAAGTTTCCATCGTATAAAAAAAAAAATCGAAATTGTAAAAATTGACGCCGGTATAAAGAGATAAGCACAGTTTTGTTAATCTTCGCGTAAGCAACACACACACACACACACACAAACACACACACAACATCCGAACGCGAATTTTGTATAAATTGTAAGTGTCCTCGCGATAAAATATCCAAACACAATAGTTCTAATCGATTAAAAAAAAAAAAAAAAAGAAAAAAAACCGTGCGTAGACTACCGTAACGATGTTCTATCGCGTAGTTGAAATTGCAATTGTGATGGCGAAAATCCGGAGTCGATCCCGGCTTGCGCCACTGCCCGTGCTTCACTGCACGCGATCTAGTCCTGTAAGCACCGTCGGCATCGGGAAGAAATGTTCGTATATACATGAAATACAAATTTATTACTAATTTTTTTTAATCGTACATACGTACCTTAGTTCCCAATAGGCTTAAAACTTACTGATTGTGTATCATCAAATTAACGCTAACTTTCATCTAAGTAATTAAGTTGCTCCATTGCTTGTAAACGAATCTACTTCGTAAAGAGAAAAAGTAAATTATCGACAATAATACTTTACTTTGGACTATGCCCGGCATTTTGTGCACTTACATTTGACATATCATCCCTCTTTTAGACAATTAAGATGAAGTAAATTCTTCATTTGTTTGTTTGTTCGTTTTTTTTTTTTTTATTATACAGTGACCGATCGCTGCGTTTCCCTCCCGTTAATGTAGAAATTGATAGCGAGTCATGTGACGTTCACTCGCACAGTAACAATAGATACAATTTAGCACATTTCCATTTTTAACGTCTGAGAAACGGTAACGTCCACCAGGTAAGCGCTTATCCAGTCCCACGTGATCTCAATATTCACGAAAGATTAAAACAAACGAACGCGCGAGAGAACTCGCGTGAAAAATAAAATCGCGCTGAAACACAATACACAGAACTGGTAAATAAATTACCAACATTTATACATTTCCTTCGATCTCTTACGTGAGATTCTTCATTTTTTTTCGCGAATTTGTTCTCTCGCCGAGAAGAAAAGAAGATTCGCCGATCGATTCCCTAATGCGTATTTCGGTGAGATAAATTGCGGGCATGCGGGCTTTCCTCAATAGATATACGCATAAAAAGAATCGCCTCGTATTTCATCTATCTCGAGAGATACAATACGCGCGCGCTTTGCGCGCGCATAAAAAGACCCAGTTTCGAGAAACGATTCGATGTACACATATAGCGCATGTACATATAGAGTGGCTCATATTACCAGAAGTGACAGAAGCAAACAGAAGTGCTACCCAAAAGAGAAGCATAAGAGCGGCCATGAGGCGCATTTTACATGTTCCTTCTCCCAGTGTGCACGATAGTTTTTTTTTTGTGTGCCACGTAAAACATTGGGGTTCTGTTCCGTGCTATGTATGTGCGCGAGTTGCGTTTCTGTTTTCTTTCTCATTGTTGCTGCGGCTGCGAACGAAAACACATTACGATGTAGCGCTTTTAAGCGGGAAGATTGCTCGGGAGACACACATGCGACGAGACAATCCAGAAGATATTTTACGCGCAAATTGCGCGAACGTAGCACGGAACAGAACCAAAACAACACTCCGCGCACGTAACAGCAGCACGGAACAAGATCAAAGAAATATGACAGAAACAAGTTTTTTTTTTTTTTTTACAGTAACGAGACGTATACACGTGAAATATGTGATATTAATACAAAGAGTAAATTTCGATAGTTTTATTCATTCCGTCTGCATTCGTTCATTCACAGTTACAACATGATTCTTATCTATACACTACGGTAATGGAAACATAATTTTTCTTTACAATACTTTGTGTGGGATTTCTCTTTTCGTCTCTATGAAATTTTTTTTTTTTTTATTTTGGAGTTTATTTAAGAATAATGAGTCTATATCGTATGTATAAGAAGCGGTAATAAGCTCACTGAAATTGATCTTATCGATACGTAGGCGCTACGATACTTACAGTTAACGGAAATCTGTGAATTTAAGTGGTACACGATATATATATATCCGCGTGAATTTTAAATTCTTTTGTTTTGCCGATTACAACCGATACGTCTTTTTCAAATCACGTCTTATGTATGCCGGATAATTTAAATCACGCACGCCTTGAGAAAATTCAAACGCGAGAAAACATGAGAAAGAGAGATGTGACAATCACAAGTTTGCGCAGTAGTTATAAAACACATGTACAGAGTTTTATCTAAGGCAAAAAAACCTGCACACATTTGTAGTTTACAATTTGAGACTGCAGCTTTTTCACAATTGCGATCGTGTACCACTTTAGAAATATCGTACAAAGCCGACTGCAATTATTATTTACAGGGATTTCATCCACTTTACAATGTTTTTTTATTGTAATATATAATTTCGTAAGGGTAATATTTACAATCTTCTGAATTGCAGGGAGCTCCTGAGTGTCTGTGTGTCGTAACATGGGATATACATATATACCGTACATATATATATATATATAGTTATTTTTGTGGGATTTAACAATGCGATATTGTTTTATAACACTCAAATAAAATTTCCAAATTTGTCTGTATAATATTGAGCGAACTCGGATCGACAAACAATTTTCTCACGTCGATATAAATATTGCAAAATCGTGACAGGTCTGTGACATTCAAAACGCACACGTCACGTCTCGTGCGAAATTTGTCATGCGCGGCGATCAGAATCGCTGTCTTTTTAAAAACCGATAGTTTTTTTTTTTTTTTTTTAATCGATATCAAGAAATGTCATTCAATACAATACCGATAAAATATAAGTAATATGTGTGTTGCAAAAATATTTTCCAGTATATTTTCGACATAGAAATTCAAAAAAAGAGTTGCGCGATTTATCAAGTGTTTTTCTACGTGAAAAAAAATTACTTTACACGTAACAATCTGTTTTAATTCAAAGAACGGCTCGGTGAGAGCGCATTTAATTTAATCATTATACATATCATCTACGTAGGAACGTTAAGTTTCTCCAATCGCGAAACTCAAGAAATTGCGTAGAATTAGTGTTATTACTTTTTTTTTTTTTTTTTTTTTTTTTATACATGTATAGAACAATCCAAAATATCTCCCTATTTCAAATTCGTCGTTCTGGTATACACGTCGGGATAATACAAGTAACGTCGTTTGACATCCATATATGTAAAAACGTCGACAACTACTCACACTTTTTTTTTTTTTTTGGTTTTATTTTATGCGCGCTCGAGGGGAGACTTAGTATGTACAAAACCGATGTCCTTACCGATTACAATTAGTACATCGATAATATCGTCCGGGAGGGTCCGTTACGGATCGTAACGAATCGTTATTTACAAATATATGCAAGTGATTAATATTCCGGAAAAATGTACAAGTTTCGGGTTTTTTTTTTTTTTTTTGCTTCGTTGCATCTCATGCATCGCGTTTTCACGACTCATTGTTCGAGTTTTTGTTTTTCGCGCACACGTCACGCTCTACTTTTTACGCTTACGTACTAATTTATACACTTCAAGTAAGATCGAGTAACCCTTTGCACATCGATAATCACAAAACACATGTAATGTCAGCACAGATGGCATATAATTTTTGACGGTGACGAACTGTTTAGCGTCAAATTGAGCGCATGCGCGCGATACTTCGTTATTACTAGCGGCAGCACGTTTGTATGAGAGTGCAAAGGGTTGATTTCTGCTAAGTGTTTTCTTTCCGCGCACCCCGAAATGAAATTAAAAACTCACACATGAAAGTTACAAAAATAGTTCTTTAAAGTGATGGTTCAAACGTGCGCTGCAGTGCGAAATCAGTATACAGAAATGTCGCAATAATCGAGGATGCATTCCGACACGAATCTATGCGCTCACACAAAGAAATCACTTTTTGTTTGTGAATCGAGTAGGCCGAAGTTTCTTTCAAGTCCCCGGAATATGATCAATGGGAGACCTACACTGGATGCGAAGTTTAATAATTTTTATAAGTTTTTTTTTATATCCGTTTAACGACAACTCTTTCTCTTTCTCGGTGTGTTGATACTCATGTCAAGTATTGGAAAATTAATTCTTGCAAAACTACTCGGTGCAAACACCCTTCAAAGTGCACAACGAATCGCAGGAGAAAAAAGTGAAAAAAAAAAAAAAAAATGAAACACGCAGACGTCTAAGACAAAATCAATGCGATCGATCTTCCCGGCAATATAATTGCGATTCGAATGCCTTTTCCCCCCGATGTGAGCGTCGTCAACCAGACGCAAAAAAAGGGAAAATCAGTCGACCCTTTGAAGGAAATTAAGAGATCTCGTTTCGCTAACGATGCGTGCGATTCGAAAGCGTCTCTTCCTCTTCGATGGAAGAGAGATTGGTTAAAGGGGGATTTGGGCGATGACGGCGGAATCAGATAAGGAAAAATCGTCGTCATTTCGAAGAAAACGTACGATGGTGGCGAATGTTCGATGAATCTTTGTTGACAACCGTCGCAAACCGTGGGTGTTATTATCGATCGCTTGCGAAACGCGCGCGGCACACACACGCACACACACACACAGACTCTGATGACAAAATTAAAGCTAAACAAACGGGCGCGAGCCGTGTCCGGACGAAGAGAGCCCGCCAATGCTATTACAGCGCAGATATTATGTGTGTTACCGTGCAAATTACATTAATTCTCTTCGATCACTTCGATAATCTGATATACGCATATTGCAACTATACACAGAAATATCAGAATTACGGCAGTATTAGCAAACTTTTGCTTTGATCTTGAAAATTGTGTCCGTTAGTCCATTTTTTATGTAACACTTTATGTGTGCATTAATTATAAAAATTCATTGTTGAAAGAGAGAAAAACAAGGAATAATCGATCTTCGCATTGCTCGCAGTCTTTTCCCAGATGCATCCCTGCGAAATCATTGCGAGAAGCTGGAAAAATAAAAGCATAACTTGTCTGTAACAGACAAATTTTTCTTTTGTTCGTTGACAAAAACGAATTATAATAAAAAATAAATTTATAATTTCACACAATTGTTCGGCGCACGCTGTCAAAAGTACGGCCCGTCGGTAGATTCTTCGATAAGTCTGTGGTTAATTCGTGAATTAATTGATCCCATACACGGATAAAACATTGCGGAATTTTCTTCAGAAGCCGGAGAGACTTCGACCTATATATCTCGTATTTCCGCGTCGCGACGACTACGACAAGGCGGATAGCACGATTATGCACATCACCGCGCTGGACCGAGCCATGCAATGCCACGTGCTGCTCTTGGATGATATCGACTCCGCCGTGTTGTCCATTCTCTGCTGGCCGACGTCGTCGTCGTTACTTTTGTGACTGTCAACGACGTTCTCGGCCTCGTGGCTCTCCTCCTGCTGTCTCGGCCTTCCACGAAGTCCTTTCTGCAAAGTGACTTCTGGAAACAGCAAAATAAGAAAAAAAGAAAGAAAAAAGAAACTCACACACGTGTTAATATTAAACTAGATATTATGCGACGCCGTGTTAAATAATAAAACGCACAGCGAGAGAGGCGTGAGACACGTGAAATATTCATCGAGTTACAAGAGAGAGAGAGAGAGAGAGAAAATAGAAAAACACTTGAAGAAATATTTTTTTTCTTCCACTTCGGATAACGCGAAACGCAGCGGAGATCTTTTCAATCTTTCCGTGTCGTCCGTTATTTATTCATTCCGGGAGACATTGCTTATACAAGACGCCGACGTTAGTGCTCTTTCGTGTTATCCTTCGCTCGGATAACGCTCTCATTGTCCGTTTCTCTGGCGCGCGGAAGGAAGGATCGCGTAACCAGATCGCGTTCACAGAACTCGGCGGCGCTTTCTGAATTGCCGCGGTGGCGCTTGTCTTACACAAGGTCCGCCCCGGTTTACATGATAATCGAAACAAGTTCTTCGGATACCGTCGGCGCGCCAACAGTCCCGGCGCGGGTGCAGATTACTTGCCATAGTTCGGGGCGGGAGGGAGGAGGAAGAGAAAGGCCAAGTGTGCGACGGTAGTTCATAAACCGCGCGGGATTTCATCAAAATCCCGTCGAGAGTTCCTCGCGTTTGTCGAGGGTTGAAGAGAGGAAGACGCCGAGGAGGAAGAGAATGAGAAGGGATAGGAGGAGAGCCAGAGAGACTCTCCTCCCCGGTGCGCGGAGCGGCGCGGCACGTTGCTGAAAGTTTTGCGGAATAAACTTCGCGCCTTCCGCGAAACTTTCCGGGAGGAAAGTTCCGCCACTGCCCGGCGGCGTGTAAGTTCTCGCATTACGTCGAGGGCGATGATTTAAGACGACGTATCCCGGCGAATTTCGGGTCGCGCGGCAACCGTATTTGCGGTGGGTGACGGTGTTTTCAAGCGTTCCTCTTCACTGATCGCATAGATCAACATTTTATTGCCCGCAAATCGCGAACGACGTCCAGTCGCGTACGTGCCGAATCCGGAAATGCATAAATTCGATACACGTATGTAAGTTCGCTCGCCAAGAACATAAATTTTCAATGGATGGATGGACGTCTTTCTGTTATGATAAAGTATGAAATACGTTTTCCTGACATAAATTTTCCAACGTATCTTCGAAACAATTTTCGAAGACTCTCAGAAAGTATTATATTCCCGAAGTGTGTTTGTTTTTTTTTTTTTCCCCGCGTGGAGAGACTTTATATCTAATAAGCAAAATATGTGTTCAAATCATCGGTCACTTCTAATGAAACAAGTCGAATTATTTGCAGCGCGAATTATTTCATACGATATTTCACGCAGCCAGATGGATATGTACAAGGAGTGTAATTAGTGAGATTCAGGAAAGTGTACAGATCACACACTCGGAACGCGCAAAACAGCGGTTACCATTCAAGTCCCGGTGCGGTTGCCAAATCTCACCTTCGCGTCGCTCGGTCGGTCTAATCTGATTTTTGTTTTCTCCGGCGAAAGTTTTGCGAGGCTCGCACCGCCCCCGAAGCTCTGAATATTCAAACTTGTTTCGACAACATCCGCAACTGTCGGCGACGCGCGTAATTGTAACAACTGCGCGCGCCAGTCGAAATTGCCACTTATAATGTTCTCTTCGTCGTATTAGAATGACGAAAGGGCGAAACAAACTCGCGATCACACCAGAATGTGTTACGACAAAATTGAAATTACTAGTCGCGGTTGCGACTCGACTGTTTGTACAATCTAATTAAGCAAAGTATTGTATCAATTATACACGCACGGCGACTTTACGTGCTCGTGTAGCGTCCGTTTTGGACGAATTTTATTTGCGTAAACTTTGCATTTTTTCTCGACAAAGTTTTAGTTGACGTTTCAGCGTACGGAGACGTTCAAATTTAACTGTTGCACTCAACAAAAAAACATAATGCCACTAATGCGTGGTATTTGATTATGTCACAAGGAATTAGGATTTTTCATATCACAAAAATACAGAGATGGATGGGTGTTTTATCCTTTTTGTTTTTGTTTTTTTTTTTTTTTTTGTGAAGATCTCAACACAATGCACGCTTGAAATAAAATTAAAATGGTAACTCTGTTTGTGTATCTAACGCAGTTAAAAATCTGATGTTTTTCCCGCGGAGCTTTAATTTTATTTAATACGAAAATCTCGGCTGGCGATAGTAATGTAAAACAGCTTAAACGAATATAATGGAAATGTTGCGTACCTTCGCTTCTGACAACAGTCGACAAAGACGCGTCGGTTATTTCATGAGAGCTCGGCTCTAAACTGGGCAAGGGCTTTTGCCGCGACCCTTGAATATTTTCCACTGAAAAAAAATATTTCACCTTAATTGTTTACGCGTAATACGAGCACTAGTGGTGTTACACAATTCTAAGTAATTGTGCTAATTAATTATTATTCTTTACATTGCGTTTTCTCTCTTTAATAAAAATTTACTTTTAAATTTTAATATAAATTTGTTAGAGCGTGAACTTTGTAGATTAGAAAAAATAATCAAAATTATTCAAATATTAACACGCTAACACACAAATCAAATTGTTTAATTACTAAATATTAACATTTACCTGGCTCCGAAGTAGTAGGAACTGGCGTCGTGCTCGTTGTTGTCGGTTTAGTTGTAGGTGTTGGTATATCTGTTAAAATTAAACAATTTATTAATATTTATCTTATATTTAACACACACACACACACACATAGCATATTATATTATTATTACATATTATTATTTTCGGCAAAAATTAAAAATATATAACAGCGTGCGCGATTTATGATAAACAAAATTAAAATAGAATATTGTATTCTGCTGTATTACATATTGTTGCGTTTGACAAAACAACACGTCTAGATGTTATTTAACACAAAAACAACATTGTTTCAACACATCGATTGCTTTAATCGCTACGTTGGAAACGCAAATAACTTGCGTTGATAAACGACGAGGAGGATCTAATCGCCAAATGATAGCAATAAAAATCGGTTTTACCCGGTCTTATTTAACGACGGGCACACAATGTTAGCGTTAAAGGAAAAAAAACGCAGCTCTCGCGATTCTCGCCCGGCCGTTTAGATAAAGTTAAGCAATTAAAACTAGTAACACTCGCCGCGCACAGAACCGGCGGCCATTGTAGCAACTTTCGGCGGGGATTGAAAGGCCGGTTTAAAATGCTAATGCGCATTAAATCGTCGACACAATCGAACGCTTATTTAAGCGGCTTAGTGGTAATCTGCCGATTCGGCGGTCGCAGTAAGGCACAAAGCCGGGGAAGTTCAATCTGCGGGCGCGCCAAGGCGAAAACCTACAATTACTGATCGATAGATAGAACGGGCTTCTTTTTGCACGGTGCAGAAAGAGAATCGGGGGGAGGGGTGGCGAAGGGCGCAAACGGTCGGAAGGGTGAACGCAGATCGACACTCGTGGTTATCGGTGATTCACGGCTCGCACCGCTTTCCGGAAAATGCGATTTGCGGAACCAGAGAGACAGACACGGCTGACTTTCACGGCGCTCCTTATCGCGCCGATTTGAGTTTCCCCCCGGTCTCTTTGAGAGAGAATCAATGAGAAGTTTGAGGAAAATACCGACGGGAAAAAAGAGTGTCTGTGCTCGCGGACGATGATTGATACCAGATTTCTTTCTTGAACGAATTGTCTTTGTAAAAAGAGAGACGACGTTTTATCAGTGAAATTTACTGAATCAAAAGTTACAGGTGATTAATTAATTTTTTCTTCTCTTTAAAACGTTGCTCGTTATTTTATTTCTGCAATTTTGTTTTTAAATTAAAACACACTCGCGAATGCGCGCAATCGTTGTTTCCACATCGCGCCGAAACTTTGTCAATTACCGTCGCCCGCGCGCACATGTGTCGATAAAACACACCGACTTCGACGTTGAAGCGCGGCTTTTCCATTCGCGCGGCCCATATGCATCTAGTCAAACGTTTTTCTCATCCGAACGAACGAAGACGCATCTCGTTTCTACGAGAGAAACGAAGCTCTTCCGCTTATCGGCGAGTCGCGATTTGGCAACGGTCGCTCTCTCCGCGCCGACACTTTTCCAACTCAGCTTATATCCGCCGATATATCTCGCTCGTTGTCTTCGAGAAAACCGCGCGCTCTTTTATCGCGCCGGTTGATGGGCGCGATTCGCTCCCCCCGCCGGATGCTTAATTTCTCACATCCGACGCCGGATATACCGTTTCTTCGGTCGCGCGCGATTAACGATTGCTGATAACGCGCGGCCGCAAGTCGCGGAAAACGGAAAGAAAGGCGCGACAATCGCGAGTGCTCCTTGATAAGGGAATCGCTTGACAAATGTCGGAAAACCGACTCGCGAATCGATAACGCGGGCTCTCCGAGATGCATGTTCGCGATAAATCATATATCGCGATTACAATGTAACCATCCCTTTCTCTCGTTACAAAAGCGATGGGTTTTTCGCGAACCGCGCGAATTAAGCGATTAATTTGACACAATTGTGTTAATAACGACGCACAATTTACAAATGAATGTCATTAAGCGGGGCAAAAGTTTTGCGCGGATAAAGACAAGCGGAATTGTGTTTAAATAATAATAACGCGGCGCAGATGTATACGCGAATAATAATAATCGGGCGAAATGTGTGCGCGCGCGCGCGCGATCAAAATGTGCAAATTTATCAAAATGTTCTGACGGCCGCAGCGAAGAACAAACATGATCGATGGGTTGATTTATACGAGCGCGCGTGTTAAAAACATATTTTGAGAATGTTAATTTCGACGAGCCCGAGTTCGAAACCCAAAGTTTAATTCGGTTTTACAACAAAACGTAGGATCGGTAATTTGGCAAATCCATGCAAATGGCAAAATATTGTAATCGCGTCGGGCGGGGCAAAAATACGAGCGCGAGCTGTCCTGAACGCGGGATTATTACCGCGTAGTGTCTTTCTGTGTTGATTAACACGTTCCGTGCCGCGTGGGTCGTATACACTGCAAATCCAAGTGTGTTAATTTAACACACTTGACGTGTGTTTTTATTGAAGTCATTTTTAATACGTTTCTTAGTGTTTAAAATTGGAACACGCTTAATACGTGTTGATTTAACTCACTAAATTAACACGTTTTAAATGTATAATTTGTTGTGTGTAATAAACGACATATTATCATATAAAAGTTTGGAAGCTCTACGTTTTCATAGGAGAACAGAATAATAATATTTATAATAATAATATAATATAATAATATAATAATAATATTTATGTTTCAAAAAAGCTGCAATGTGAAAAACTTAGATAACTATGGTATAATAAAGTTTGTCATAGTGCAGTATTCTTTAAAAATATTAAAACATTATTATTTTGTTCTCCTAAGAAAACGTCGAGCTTCC